GAATTCATATTTTAAATGCAGCTATGACTTCTGTAGACTTTGATTTTGAAACGCGGCTTTTTATTTTGCTGTAAGATGCCAAATCTATGAGGGCTTCCGATTCCATTTAGTTTAAGCCTGATGGTGTTTTGTTCATGCTGAAAACTTTCAGTGCACATTTAAAGTCACCAAACACCTTCTTTTGAACTATCGGAAAATGATGTTCAAACAATTCTTCTGCCAAAACTTCGAGAAGCGCATGAATATTTTTTGTCTTTATTGCATCTTAATGTTATTCCAGTCAAGAAAATTTTCTTAAGCAATCAAGATCTTCCTTTTCCTTTAATTTCAACCAATATATAAATTTTAATAAAGAAGACATTTTGGCATTTGCTGATGTGAAGATTCGTAATAGCTATGTGAGTAAACATAATAAACATGGACCATTAAAAACGCCAATCAGGCAACGTGACCAACCGATGAAATTTAATTGAGAATATCACACAAAGTTCCACGTTTCTGGTTGATTAACATGATTGGTGCCACTTAGGTGCATCACGTACTGCAGTCTTGAATCGTGGTTTCCGAGAGAGCGATAGAGAAAAGATGTTGGAAGCCGAATCGTTGTTTTTTCTGGCAACGGTGCTATTTGACAAAGAAATGAGTCTCTGCACTGGTGTGAGCTTCACTAGTTCGAAGTAATTTATTAGATTAGAAGCTTCCAGTATTTTTTTATTATTGATTTAAACAAGTCCTGTCATAGATTCCTGTGAAGCCAAATTTTCATTGCATTTTCTGATTAAAAAAAAAAAAAAAGACAGTTTATTTTTTTTCCATCTCAGAATGGTTTTCTCAAAATGCCACCGTAGTTTAGAAGAAAACATGGAAATGATCATCAACATGTTTTCATTTCCGGAAATCATACAGAAAGGACTGGCTCAAAAAGTAACCAAAAGTAATACGGATCCCTCTATTTTGAGAGCCCTGGCTCTCGAAGTATTAAAATTTTTTTACCCCGAACCAGAATGGCTTCGGATCTTTACTGATGGATCCCTCCTGTCTGATAGCCCTAATGCAGGTGCCGGAATTTTCTCTGAAGTTTTTTCTTTCTACATCCCCTTGGGCCGAGGTACTGCGTTTAACGGCGAAATTGCTGCGATTCGCAGAGCTCTGTACCAGCTGACATGCCACCTGAAAAAATTCACAAGAGCTGACCTCAGTGACTTTCGAGCTGCTCTGTTGACTGCCGTTTCAGATAAAAAAATCCCATATCGCAGGACATTTTGGATTGTCGACATTATTTAAGAAAAACCTGTCATCACTTGAGAAAACTATAGTCCTCCTGTGCGTTCCTTCCCACTGTGGGGTTCCAAGTAATGAGAAAGCCTATTTCCTGGCAAAAAAGGGTGCTTTAAGCATGCAGAATATTTCTCGTCCTATGCCTTTCCATACTGTTAGTGATCTTATTAGATCTTTCAAAGTACGTGCTCAGGAAGATTTCTATCATCTTGTTTCTCATAAGTTTGGAAGAATGCTGTCCCGAATTTGTGTAATGGCCCAAGGCATAGAGCGGTCGCTGAATTCCGCCTTGCCACCGGACATGACTGCCTAAGATATCATCTTCATAGATTCAAAATTGTTCCTTTTCCGATATATACTCTGTGCAGCTCTGGAGAGGTGATGGACGCCGCACATCTTCTCTACTATCCTGCTCTGAGCAAGACTTTTCTCGCCGAGCGTTACTTGGAGGCAAGCGATATGTTAGATTAATGGACTCTATTACAACTTTTTTTACATTTTGTTGCTGTATTCTGTGTTCCTTGTTCTTGTTTTTTGCTGTAACTGTTCATAATTTGCCATTGAAAATAAAAAAAAATAAGAGCTGTCCAATAACAGCCAAGCAAACATTGGTCGACGGTTTCGCTGAGTCAGCCTACACATTTACACACGCGCAACTTTCTCTTCATTGAGTGGCTAAGGCTTAATCCCCGTTAAACAGGTCTAACTTGTGTTAACTTTATGATTTTTAGATAGGCCTTTAATAAAAGTACACTTTGGCCATTAAAATTGCAACACCATAAAGGAAAGCAAATACAAAAAGGATATTTATTGTGCGTATACAGTATGGCATGAAAACAAAATGATCAAATTATTAAGCAGTCTGGGGGTTTATAAGGGTGAGAAATTAGTAGAAATATCTGCCAACTGTAGCAGCTCAATCGCCCTTACCTGGTTAGGCAAGGAGTCGAACTGGGCGTGGATGACAGAAACGGGCAACTCATTCCATGCTGCTTTAAGTACCATGCACACTTGATTGACCCTATTAGCTGAAAAGGTGTGGCGGGCCAGTCTCTCAGCAACCCATGGCTAGATGGTTTCAATGGGTGACAGATCTGGAGACCGTGCAGGCCAGGGCAGCAGTCGAATACCCTGTGTATCGAGGAAGATCAGAACACGACGTTCAACATCTGGTCTTGCATTATCTTGCTAAAAAATGGTGTTTGGCAGGCCTCGAAGTTAGGGCACAACCACTGGACATAAGATGTCTGAAATGTACCGACCTGCGTTCAAATTACCGTCGATCCGAACTAGAGATGTGCGTGTTGCGTACCCAATGGTTGTCCAAACTATCACATCAGGTGTAGGGTCCCTATGCCGATATGAAATGCAAGCGGGCGACGTACGGTCTCCTTGGAGCCTCCAGACACGTATACGGCCATCAGAATACTGCACACAGAGCTGGGTTTCGTCTTGTGCAACCCCTGTATCCAGCTTTGTCGTTCGGGGCACCAGGGCCGCCGTCTCTCTCTCTGTGCTGCATTTTAGAGTCCTTCACTTAAAATTGTTATTTATTAATTCATCTAAAACCTTGCGAATTCTCCACCATTCATTTGTTTCGAAGACTACGGAGAAATGTGCTGTGTAATCAATAATCGTAAACATAATTTTTACTTCATATAAAGAAAAATATTTCTGTCACCTATACAGTTTTTCAAATGTTCCAGGCATTTTTATTTATTACGAGGTCACAGTTTATATATAATGCATTAAAATTTGTATTTTTTATATCTAGGTACCTTTTATTTTAAAATCCAAATATTGGTATATTGATCTAAATGTTTATTTGAATATGATCCAGAAACTTTGTTTACTAGGCTAAGTGCATATCTTCTATCAGATTAGCCTGTTTAGCAATTTGGGATTAAAATTTAAGATATGAAAAAATGGAGGATGCATAATTTATGAAATTTCGAAATTGAATATCAAAAGATTTCAGCTCATAACTAAAGATTAAAAAGTTTGTAATTTGTGAACTTTAAAGTAATTGAGTGGCCATTCTTCTAAGTAACATATTTTTCAGATTCAAAAATCTAGAGGAAGTAACAATTCTGTAAATTATAAAAGAGATACGTTCCTTTTCTTAATTTTTTTATCTCAAAAAGTTAAAAAAGGAAAGATGGGGGATAGTGCATTATTCATATTCTAATTTCTAACCATTAATTTTTGATCGAGCTAAGTTACTGGAAAACAAACATTTCTCTTAATTAACTGTGTTTTGAAAACTGAGAACGAATTCCCGTTTATGCATAAAAAGTAAAAGAATACTAATATAAAAAGTACGCCCCTTTAAGTCTATATATAAAATATGACTATAATATAGCTAATTCAAATGCCCGGAACATTTGGAAAAATATAAGTGAGCAAAATGACAAGTAATATACTTTTTAAGGGCAAACTAATATATTTTGAGACTTTTTTATTGAGTTTCATCACAAAGAAAGTTATTTATTTACTATTAATGCGCAGTATGTTTTTCCGAAAATAGTCTGATTTTGCCAGAAACAGTTGAAAAAGCAATGCAGAGAAAGCAAAATTTCATCTTAGGCAATGCAGAGAAAGTGTATGAAGTATTATCACTAAAATTCTGAAACAACTTTTACTAACATGATTTAAATTCGGATCCAGAGGATAATTCTGTGCAATGTTTTAGTTCAGAATACAAAGCAAGAAACATTACTGAAAGCCTAATTAGTTTTATTCTTCTTTCAAATAAAATGCATACCATATTTTTTATTACAGCGAAATATTATTCTCATTAAAAATAGCATTTTCTTTCATATGTTGCATAACAACTTTACGATAATTTTGGCCACTTCCACCGTTATTTAGGCATTAGTGATGATAGCATGAAATCCTTTGCTTGAGGGACCTTCGAGCAAGTGACCAGTGGGCCCATACGTTAAGACGGCCATGCCTGGTTTGTTCTTAAGCATACAAACTGAAGAGAAAGTTAGATTTTTCTCATGAGGTTATATGCTTTTTCTTGGCAACGGTTGTACTTTTAAATTAAATTGAATTGAAAACTATTACGTAGGCAAGCTGTATATTTTCTACCCAAATACGCAAGTGGCTGTTTACACCAAATTCACCATTGGTTATACAAATGTAGTACTTCTGCGGGAGCTCTTAAGTTTCGACCCAATTTAGATGAACAATCTAGTGGACGGTCTCCCACTTCTTTTCCCTATCACCAAACTACATAAGAGAACTTTCATCTCGCTGTGTATTTTGCGTGCCTCCATACTGCACAGATACTATACACTTACAAACATCCATGCCTTCTTCTTCTGAAGTTTTCGTTTCACAAATAGTTTTTTTTCGTGTAATTTTTACTAAAACAATTATTCTGTAAGGAACTAACAGTCTTTTTTTTTTTTTTAATATCCTATTTGTTACAATATAGTTTAGAAGTTAACTCATTTTTTATTTCTTAGATTCTGAACGTCAGAAAAGTAAACTTTTTATCATGATACTAACATTGCACTAATCAAACTTTGCACAATGAATTCATTTATGAAACTGCGTCGATCGGCATTTCAAAGCAGCAGTTAAATTACTGTTATTTACTGAATTAAATGACTATTTGGATTCATAACTTCAAACTTGTACTTTAATGTTGTATTTTATTATTTATTAATTATTAAATTCGTTAATGTAATAAATATTTATTTATTTTGCAGATACCGTCTGCATTGTCCTGTTTGATTATTTCGGCGTATAGAAAATTGCATATAACAGTAATGACAAATGCACCAGAGACTGGAAGTGAAATTTTCATCTGCATAGCATATGCATTTTCATCTAGCAAAATAATTAACCCATGCTCAATACATCAAGAAGAACACCTGCTACTTTCAACTACCCGTACAGTTGTTATCACATAACGAGGAGTGTTTTCATATCTTGTATTCTGAGATTGGTAAATGTATGCCGCTAGATAAAACTTCTGGCAGCAGCTGCTTTTTTATATTATGCTTGAGCGGCAAATGATGATTTTGGTGAGAATAGAGTAAGAACTTTATGCTTACTGGATTTAGCGAAAATTTTATGAATACTGTGTTCTGAAAATATGAAGAGATTCTAATTTTCTTCCCTAAATAAATATTTATAAACGAATATAATCTGCGGTAGGCTAACTTAAGGACCTGCATTTGAAATTGCATTTAGAATACAGCTACATAGTTGAAAAGAAAACTAGATTTATTTTATCTGTGATAAAAAAATTCAAAATGCATATCATCAGTGCTCAATTAATGAGTCTAACTTGTATATTTTTAAGTATGGTCACCGTCTTTCTGTTGCCGTATTGGTGGTTAGGTCGTAAACCAGAGACCTTTGTAGGTTCTCGTTACCAAATGGCAATCAGCTTGGCGAACTGCTTATCTGGAGGAGTTTTTATGGCAACATTTTTTGTCGGTTTGATGCCTGAAGTTAGAAGCATGTTTGTAGATGTATTTGAAGCATATAAAATTACATCAGACTTCCCAATCTCTGAATTTGTGATATTTATAGGTTTTCTTTTAGCTCTGGGTATTGAACAATGCGTCTTGGAATATAAAGAAAAAAATGCAACTTATACCTCTCTTCCATCAGGAAGTAGCGATGGAAGTAACAAAATTGATCTAAATTCATCTCAGACATCATGTGCCTTGAAGGACGTGTGCGACGTGTCTGCTGTGGACTGCGATAGTGACAATGCTCAAAAAGCAGCTTCTGTTAAAGTGTCAAGCAGCAGATCTGACAGTGAATCTTTAGTGAGTTCACCAGAAAAATTTCATAGTCACAGTAATCATAGTCACAGTAATCATGGTCACAGCCACGACATAGGAGAAATTATGCAAGGTGAAACGGGAATCCGTTTGGGTATGCTTTTGGTGTCTTTAGGAGTACATTCTTTGTTCGAGGGACTAGCCGTTGGCTTGCAGACGTCAGTTCCAACTCTAGTGAATTTAGTAGTTGGAGTAGCTGTTCATGAGCTTCTTGTTGCGTTCGCTATGGGAGTGAATGTATCCCGATTACATTTACCTGCTTCTACGGCCTTGAAGCTAGCCGTCTTGTTCTCAGCCTCTATTCCTGTTGGTCAGGTACGTTGTCCAAACTTCTTATTTATGAAAATGGAAGTACTCTTCCATTTCTCTAGAGACTTTAATGTAAAATTTTTATGGTTAATATTTGTTATAGTTATCTAAAACTGGTATGTTATGCAGCTTATATATTGATAATTAATTAGCTGAAAAATTAGTTATATTCGTTTTATTACTATAATTTAGTAAACTGTAATCTTCATTTTATAATAAATGTCATTTATCTTAAAATAATAATGGTTTAAAAAATGCAAAGATTTGAATTCTGTATAGTGGTTTAAAGAATATGCTTTATTTTAAGGAATTGTACACTTTGTATTATATATATTAATTTTCTACGTGAGCTTTGCCTTTTCAATATTAGCTTTTAAACATCGGGTTGCAAGATCTATTGAAAGAGGTGTTTTAAATTAGTCTTATAAGGTATTTCTCCCGTCTTCTTAGCATGCCTTCGTAGTGTAGTGGTCAGAACGCTGAGCGCGTATTCTAGAGGTCCGTGGTTCGATTCCCAGCGAAGCGTTGCTCATTTTTCACTTCTCCTGCTTCCAAAAAAAAAAAAAAAATACCTAATGTCTCTACACTCTACATTAACAATGATTTCAAGTGAAAACAATAGTAAGACTAATTTTATACTAAATCTCTACTTTTTTTTGGTATTAAAATAGTTTTTTTTCCTTCTATGTGCCAATACCAAAGCCCGCTAGTATATTCTAGAACATGAATTCTATACGATTATGTGAATAAGGTCTCAATTTTGAAGGAAAAAATAGAATGTTCATTATTATTCAGAATAATCTGAATACAACTGCTTGTCACATTATTTTCTTAACATCAGAAAACTTTTTCTGAACGATATTTTATTTTTAGTTAGATACAATACAAACATTCCGCTTTTCAGTTTGTGTACGGGATCTAAATACGATTCTCGTTTTTACTATCAAATATCTCGGTTAGTTTTTGTTGTACGGGTAGTCAAACGTTTTGTTTTATTTTTTTATAACGAGTACAGTATTCTCCTAAATATAAGCATAGGAACCGAAGGAATGAGTATAACGTTAGATTTCGTATTTTACACAAAATTATTTTTTAACTTAAAAATATTCATATTTGCGTCGTTTAAGAAACTTTGATAGTTGGAAGTGGGTCTATTACCGGCCGGTTGCGAAAATAAAGGCTAGGTGAGGGTTTTTGTGGGCACTCTGAATATTGTGTGTGTAGATGAAATTTAGTGAATGGTGATGATATAATTAGATTTGTAAATTCATTTTATTTATTAAGGTTTCATAATTAAATTTTCGTTTTTTATAATCAGACATATTTCTCAACTATTACCAATATTGCACATGGGTATAATTTCTTGCGCATGGATTTCCAATTGTATTATATCACTTGTGCACATGCTTTCATTGAACGATAAGGGGCAAAACTGGAAGGAATCTTTACTGTCTTAGAAATTGTTTACTTGGAAAGGCATGTTAATACATTTTATGCTAACAATGCAAGAGACGTTAAATGTGCCCGGTCAGTTGTCCAGTTCGATTAGAGTTTACCTCACTTGTATGCTCTTCTCAAATAACCGAATAATAATAATCTTAATAGTTCCCTCAGAACTCTTACCCGGTAATATTGCTTATTAGACTTTTCTTAATTCTTTCCTGGTCTGTGAAGTGATCGTATTTCGCAGAATAACATTTGGCATTCTGTTTTAAAACAACGGCTTTTTTTGCCCTATAAAAAATATTTTGTCTTTATTATGATCACTGAAAAAAATTTGTTATGCTTAAGTACCATGAAAATCTTTGCACTGAGAATCACGTTTTCAATAGTTGGGGTTATTGACTTAAATTACCGAAATTGACATGATATATTAAACAAAAAAAGATTCTCTTCTTTCTTAGTCTTCTTTTTCCTCCCCGATTAGTAATTAAACATTCCTCCCCCCTACATATACCCCAAGAAAGTTTGATTACTAACTTAATACAGGTGCATAAGCGAAAAAAATTCCAATTTGGAAATTCACATTCAAGTAAAACGCTATGAGCGCAATCTTGACATAGATCTCAGCGGGAAAGTGTTGTTTTGCTGTTGCTACACTTCATTCTTTGGAGAACAATGCTAAGCGCTAATGCTGAGTTGTGTGGTTGAATCCTCTGTCTCCTGTCCGTTTGATTTTTGCGTCAAGTTCAAGCTAAATTTCACAAATTAAATAGCTTTAAAATACATATATGGGAGAAAGCTTAAATTTCCGAATTTAGGAGATTTCTTTTTATTTCGTTTCGTTCCCAGTTGGTTCGATATTTTCATCAAGAATTGCTCCAAAAATCATAAATATTCTTTGTTTTACTGCCGTTTTATTGCTTTTTTTTTACTTTATTCTAACCTAATTTTTTTATACTTCATGTATATGAATAAATGCAATAGATAATTTACTGCTGTAAATAATGAAAAGATTGTTTTCTAATACTAAGGCGGCAGCAAGCTTACTCCTCTGGTTTCAAAATGTAAGATAAATGCACTTTATTGACACGTAACGAATATTAATTAATAAACCGCAATTTTCTGAAATGTTCGTACATATATTGTCCCAGAAACCTGTTACTTGCTATGACGCCAAGCATATATTTATATATACAACGGACAAGCTGTGGCAAGCCCTTTGTGATCCTTCACTCATTAAACAAAACAGTATTTGTTATGTTGCACTTTATTCATTTGACAAGCATTATGCACATGCCGCGAAGATTTTTGAAACTTCAATTTTCTGCATGCCTGACTGAAGCATACTAAAGGGGCAAAACAAATTAATTGATTAGTTGAAATAATGTGAAATAATTTTATGGTTGTGAAAGCGTTAGATTATTCCTCGGCACATTGCTCGTAGAAATGGAGAAACAAAAACAAAAAGCTATTCGCGCGACAGACTGTTAACGCTTGAATGGCTCTTTCAAATGCAGTAAACCTTATTATGATATCTCATATGGCTCATTTCTTTCCATTTAAAACCGGGTCAACAAATTATGAGCTTTCTGTATTTCTCTCGGTGTGTTGTATGAGACGCATTTGATTTCCCTGTGCATGTGCTTTTCCAGACTCCCCAAAAAGCTACTAGTTTTATTTTGCTTTCAATATTCATACTTGATATAGAGTTCTAACTATAGAATTCCTTCAAATAAGATGAAAAATATTCTGAAAAGAGGTTCAAACACGGCAAGTGGAAAGGTTCTATAAATAAAAATCTCAATATTCTAATGTAAAAAAAAAAAAAAAACAGTAAAATACCGAGGGTTTACCTTTTACGAACTAGCTGGAGGCGTGGTTTTCATAGTTTTCTCCGAGTGTGACATAAATACACTCTTAGACAAAAAAAAAAAAAAAAAAAAAAAGACGCATCAGAAGAGTTATCGAAGGGCGAAAAATCGGTAGAATTGATGTACATGTACCGAAAAACAATGATTACAGTGAGAAAATTGAAGTTTATTGAAGTAAAGCTTTACAAAGTGAAAAAGTCAGTAATGCATCTGTCTACCTCTGGCCCCTAATGCAAACAATTATTTGGATTGGCATCGATTGATAAAAGTTGCGGATGTCCTCCTGAGGGATATCGTGTGAAATTCTGTCCAAATCGTGCGTTAGATCGTCAACATCCCAAGCTGGTTGGAAGCCCCTGCCCATAATGATACAAACATGCTCAATAGAAGAGAGATCCGGCGACTTTGTTGGCCAAGGTAATGTTCAGCAAGCAATAAGGCAAGCAGTAGAAACATGTGCAGTGTGGGGGGCAGGCATTATCTTGCTGAAATGGAAACCCAGGGTGGCATGACATGAAGGGCAACACAACGGCCTTAGAACTCGTCGACTACCGCGTGCTGTAATTGCGACAGATGAAAACAAGGGGTCTACTATGAAATAAATGGCACCCCAGACCATCACTTCTGTTGTCGGCCTGTCTGCCGGAAGACAGGTGGTATCAACCGCTATCCGGGCGTCTCCAGACTCGCCTTCGCTGGTCATCGGGGCTCAGTTCAAAGCGGGACTCACCACTGAAGACTTTCTACTCCAGTCAGTGACATTCCAGTTCGAATGAGCCGACACCACTGCAAACGGGCTTGACGTTGTACAGTCAATGGTAGTCGCGCAAGGGGCGCCGTGACTCTTCCCCTTCTGTGAGCCGTCTGTGAATGGTCCTTGCGGTCACTGAAGCACTAGTCGCACTACGATCGACGATGATGGTGCATCAGGGCTGCGAGTGCCGCTCGACGATGCTCGTTTCTCAACGTTCTGTCGTTTCTCTGGCTTACCGCTTCCATCTTGACGCTGTGTGGGGCCATGGTTCACCCATTCCTGCCAACATCGTAATAGTGGATCGCTCCTGCTCAAGGTCGAGCTATTCGCCGATAAGACCAACCGACTTCTTTAAGCCCACTACACGACCTCTCTCAAAATTCTACATCTGCGCATATCGTTCGCGCACCTGTAGCAAGACATAGTTGCAGTCTACAGAGTACACGGAAGAAATTTGAAGATTTATGACCTTGAATCGTAATTTCTCCTCTTAAATATCCTGCCAGTTGCGCAGATCAGATGCGCCCGTTCAATCATTGGCAGCCAAAATGTAAAATTTTGCATTTTCCTTCGAAACTTGTATGCATATAAATTTGTGTCCAATTTGCTTCATATCTTCTCGGTGCGTTTTTTTTTTTTTTTTTTTTTTTTTTTTTTTTTGTTTTGTTTAAGAGTGTATATAAGCTAGTTTCTTTAGAAGGACCATGAGAGCCCTTCTAAAAAAAGCCTTCATGAGCGCATTCTTACCCTTGATTTTTATCTACCTTACCTTACAAAAATAGCTCTCGTGGGCCTTAAAATCCTCGTGGGATAAAAAATAGGTTAAATATTCATTATCCTGTAAAGAGTTAAAACAAAATGTTCAGTATGACGAATAAAATTGGTACAGATAACCTGAAATACTTTCAAGGGGGTATTTGATAAGCATATCTCTGCGA